GGGGGGGGGGGGGGGGAGGGATGTGGAGAGAGAAACGTGGGGAGAATGGAAGATACGTTAGAGTGATTTTAGAACACTAATTATTATCATTAATTCCCTTAAAATGTACATAAATGATAATTGGGTATATAATATGTCATTATAGTAAAACTTGAGTAGGGAGGGTAAATATAGTGTATAGGAATGTAAAAATCTCTAAATTAAATAATAGCTCATGGCCTCGTAATATACAAAGCAATATATCTGAGCGACTCATTTACATATCTAGACCTCCCACAGTATATCATGGAACCTCTATGATGTACAAAAGATAAATTGTGCACGGTGAGACCCTGCCTATGTAAAAGAAAAAAACATAAAATGTCACACAATAATCTTACCACATCCTAGCCCCCTACCCACCCCTCCTTTTAGTGACACCAATTTTCCCCATGGCTAAGTGAAATAGTGGATAGAAACATGTTTGCGTACTCGAACCAATATTTGTAAGCACCAATTGATTTATGTTTAGGGATCATAAATATGATCCTAAAAGTGTTTTAAACAGCATAATTTTACTGGCAGCAAACGTTTTTAAAAGATCAGCAACTACAACCTCGTTCATTGATCTTCAGAAATGGGGCCTATAACGACGGGCAGCGACTAAATCTTTCTAGTCATTATTGACCTTTAGGGACCAGAATCAAATCCTTGGGAACATTTTTTACGTCGCTAACAGCCATTTTCAGGTACTTGTGGTGATGATTTAGAAACCTGAGATTTTCTAAATTGGGTGTTTGTCACGACCCGGATTTTCTACTCTTGGAAGTCGTGATGGCGCCTACTAGTGGGAGCTAGGCAAGCCAGGCCTTGACTACCTAATACACTTTCATTTTACTTTCATTTAAAATTATCAGGCGATAATGCAATAACAGCGATTTAATAAATAAGCGGAAGTCAACAATGTTTATAACTCAATACTACGTCCAATACAACTTTCAAAACCTCAATACCCAAAACCTGTTGTCACAGTGTCACAGA